CCCCGATATTCTCTTCCACTTCTAAGCATTTTTTTATTCCACCATTCATCTTTTGATATTTTTACCAGTTTTTTCACCTCTTATTCAAACTCATATATTCTTTCCTGTTGTCCAGATTTTGGGTTGCAAGCCATTTTCATAATATCATCTTTTTTCCTTTATATTTTCTACTTCAATATTCCACCAATATTGCCCAGGTTTTTCTTTACTCTCTTCCCCCAGAGCTTCAAACGCTGCTTCATGTACTGCTGCTTTTAGTTTTTCGTACATATCATCAGTTGTCCCTTCAGGTTGTTCTCTTAATTTATTTGCCAATCTTAACAGATATAGAAATTTGATGGAGTTTTCATTGAATAGTTTTAGCTGATATTTAGGGTAGGTTATACTTTCTATTTGTTTGTTATAATAGTTTTTTTAGCACTTCCTTTCTAAAGGAAAAACTCATTGTACCCTTCAGTAAGTAATGATCAGAGCTTCATTCTGCAGCTCTAAAAACTCTTACATCCAATGCTTTAATGCAAGATGTCTGTCGCATAATTACGTAGTCAATTATTGATTTCTGGTTCTTCGTAGGCTGCACCCAGGTATATTTGTGTATATTTTTATGTTCATAGAAACCATTTGTAATCTTCATATCGTAGACGTTACACATCTCAATCCATCTTTTTTCCATTTTCATTTACGAGATCTTCTCCAAAAGCACCTGCTCCTTTATTTTTCTCCTTACTCTAGTGTTCATGTCCCCCATTACTACTATTTCTTTCCTATTACTTATTGAAACGAGAAGAGTTGTGAGTTCCTTTTCAAAATTGTCTTTCAGGTTCTTGTTGGAATCATCAGTTGGTCCATAAACGGCAATTATTACCATAGCACATCCCATTATTTCCATTTCCAACTTCATAATTCTTTCACTTATTTCTTTGCAGTTTTTGACATTTCTTTTCCATTTTTTATTTATTGCTATTGAGATGCCTGCCTTTGATCTTTTATCTTTGGATACTCCAGTACAGAAAAGCAAGAAGTTTCCCTTAATTTCATTTCCTTGTGCCTTTTTCTTAGTTTCAGAAAGAACATCAATGTCTATTTTAAATTTCTCCAATTGAACAAACACTTCTTTTTCTTTAGCATTTAAGCCCTGCATATTCCATGTACCAAAATTCAAAGTCCTTTTTCTCGCACAATTTTGTTTCCATAATTGACCTATCCGAGGCTGCGTATTGGGACATTTTGCATTTGAATTTTTTAGTGGTATTGAGGAGCAAGCCCAAGCCCAAACCCCCAACCTAGAGGACCAGAGGTTTTGTTGTCAAGCTTCCCGTGCCCTAGAGGGGTAGTCTTCTCTATGACTATCGAGACTCCTCTCCCCGTTCAAGGCCTACCTAAAAAAAAGCTAAAGAATGGAAAAAAGGATGACACCCTAGACCTCGAAACCTAATAGCGTCGGGTTCGAAAAAACAAGAGTTCGTCAAGAGAGGCCTAGGATAGTTGATAGGAAAGTTGAAAGATGTGTGGCATAAGAAAGTAAAAGATGTCACACCCGAAGAAAGGGATAGTAGATACGACTGTATCCCTGTGGGGGTCCAATAGGGCATGAAATAGGGAGTAGGATTAAGATAGGACGTTGTGAGACATGTTAGTCTGGCTTCTCCATTTCATCCTTTCCGGCATGGGTGACCCTACCAGTAGACATGCCTAAACGAGCATGCTACAGCCGGCATAGCCTTCCTCATCATTGAAGCACGCAAGCCTCCCTGCCCACACAGACAATGCTACTAAAAGGCGGTGTCCCCTGGGGAGGTTCTATTTTTTTGTAAAAATATCTGCTTAATTTAACAAGGTTTGGCAAGTTCTCTCCCGTCTACTTTTATATTTTCTACTTACTAGTTATATACTTTTTCACTTACACATGATTTTTTAATGAATTATATTTCTAATTTCTATGTAACTTTTAATTTTTATTCTCTTATTTTATTATCTATCTTCAAACTTCGTTTGACTTTTTCTTTTTTTCCAGACAGATTACGCCAATTAGTCCTCTTTGACACATGTTGATGAGTGTAATTGACATACAAATTGGTAGGACGCGACTTTTTTTGAAGAAAAGAAATTCATTGATTGTTAAAAAAAGAAAAGGATACTTGTGTTTAATTAATTTATTAGAAAACAATTCATAAAGATAGTTCACAAGACAGTCACTATGTGGAGTAGAACACTACAAAATTGGATCCACTGAACCTAAAACCATTTTCCTGCAAATTATATTTTTGAGATGTGATTTCTTTTATACATCGACGAAATGTATGTGTCATATTACCAGGTGATTGTATGGGAAATATATGTGCAATCTATTGCTGTGAGAACTAGAAATTTCATAAAAGTCTTCTTGGGTGTTTTCTATATTCCTTGGAAACTTCACAAACTCACTCTTAAAGTGCATTGCTCACTTCAATGAAGTCTCTAATTACGATAAAAAAACGATCCCATTGCAAAATAACTGAGAGAGAAGAAGTTAGTTCATTGGTGATACCTTGGAATTGCTAACAAAACATACAGTATACATTTTGTTATTTTGGCATAAAATTAATTTAACATGACCATTACTTTACCAGGGCATTACAGAAATATGTCAGTATTCATAAATCATTTGTTTTTATTTTCTGTTTTATCAGACACAACTTTGTTAACTGTAGGCTTCCTTAACCTCAAACGGTATTTGCAATCTTGTTTGTCAAGGATCTTAAAATATTCTGGCTGACATTCCATCAGGTCGGATGCTATAAACCATCAAAGAATTCATCATCCATCATCTCTGATGTCCATCACGGAAATACCACAAATATTCCTTGAAAATCGCAGCAAGTTCACACACAAATTCTGTTATTTTGGAGTTATCTACCAGATAAACATTTTACAGCCTCTCAAACCTCCAGATTATTTACCGGATACTTCAATCACTGGTTAGATGTGTCAGGCACGTGTAAAACACAAATTTTCAACATATCAGTAAGATAACTTCTAGATAGACTATCAGAAGTTGTATACTATTCACTCTTGAATATATTATCACAGCCAGAAATTCTTCAACTCCTTAGACAACACACACTTTTAATTTAGGTCAAACATCCTAATTTCCTCAACAAATACTTTCAAGATTTCTGAAAGGTAAATTGCATCCCCTCATTATCATTACCTCCCTCTCTCATTCAACTCAAATTTCTTAAAATATCTAATGACAATTTTTTTTAGTCCAATAGAATGTATATTTTCGATGCAATACTGTCAATAATCTCTACTTCAGGTTCCCTGCGAATTCCTAATTGTCAGTGATGTCAATTTGTAATGTTAAAAATCCTGAAAGACGTTCTTGTTGAACAAGCAGAAATACTTTTCTTTTAAAAAGTTAAGTGGCCAGCTGATGTGCATTATTGGCGAAATCATAGGAACTTTTTCATAATTTTTTTATTCACCTAAAACCTCACAACAGTCCTGTGTAACATGTGTTCTATTTAATACATTGAGACCTGCAGATGTTGCTTTGAAAATTAGAAGTAAATGCTTTGTACTAGAAGGAAATTCTTGATTTCATTCATAAGAAAAATAAGCAATTGCTCCTTGGCTGAGCAATTACTCACATTCTTTATTCATACTGTTTAAAAGTAATTGCTTTGAAAACTCAAGAAGTAATAGCTCATTTTTATTCTTACCATCCATTGTGTCATTCTGTTTGTTGTATTGTGGTGTTCCACATTGCTGATGGTAAAAATTGGTGACATCATTGCTGTTTGTAGTGTTGCATTTTCTAAAATCATATTTTATTGTTTTAGGTAACAGTAGAAGACCTTCTTATTATCAACGTCAACAAAATGCTGTCAAGTCTGCCATGGATATAAGAGAGCAAGTATTGAATAGCATCAAGTATAAAAGTTAGGGGATGAGCAATTCTAATATATTTAAAATTTCAATTGTGTATAAAGTATCTTTGAAAGTAAATTGAGAAAATAGTATTGTACAGTTTATCTTTATTAAATGAAGTGCAATAAAGAATTTCACATAAAATATTGTCAAAAATGTTTATTACACTTTTAAAGAGCAAGTCACTTAAGCAAGAATGTATAGTACATGATTAAAAATCAAATTTATTAAAGAGATAATTCATGGATGTATTACAAACAAAAGTGTAATAATTGTATTCCAAAATCACAATAGAGTATAAATATCACAGATCATTACGTAAAGAATATAAACCTTTTTATTGAATTTGAGGCGGAATGCAGGATTACAGTTTGAAATAATCTACCTAGAGGCAATCTGATGACATTGTGAGTTGTAAATTAATACTGAACAATGGAATGTATAGGTGCATCAACAGATCTTCGTCCATTAAGGTCTAGTAGTTCCATTACAACAATGCACTGCTTCACATGTGCTCCAAGTTGACTCACCAGTTTGCAAGCTGCTTGCAGAGTTCCTGGAATATGCAAAAAATTTATAGAATATACTCTACAGAAAATATATGTAGTAATACTAACACTTACCCCCTGTTGCTAGCAGATCATCTACAATGAGTATATTTTGCCCTTTCTGAATAGCATCAGACTGAATTTCAACAGTGTCCTGTGTGCAAACATACGATATTTAAACGAGTGGTAACTAGTCCAAAATGTTTAAGTAAACAAATGCAGTACTTACTGTGCCATACTCAAGTTCATAAGTTTGTTTGTTGACTTGTCCAGGAAGTTTACCTTTCTTTCTTATTGGAACAAATGGTATTCTGGTCTGTAATGATATGAGAGGTCCAAAGAGAAACCCTCTGGATTCCAATCCTATGATTACATCAGGCTTTGGAACCATGTTTTCTACTTCTTCTAGAATTAATTTATTCAATGCTTCCAATGCTTTTGGATTCTTCATGAGAGAGAATATGTCTCTAAACACACAAGTAACACATTATCATAATTATACATATTTTATAAAAAGAGTACTAAAATGCGTGCTAAATAGATGTACCTGAATAATATACCAGGCTTGGGAAAATCAGGATAACTTTTAATACTATTCTTAACAATATTAATATCACTTTCTCTTCCCATTATTGCGGTTGACAGAGTGAAACTTCTTGTACAAAACAAGTCAGGGGAACTGTAATGTGTTACTGAGAATGCTTTCAAACTTCTTTGGTGTACTACACGTGTGATGACAAATTGAAAAAATGAGGACATCAACCACTAGAAGTCAATTGTGTCTTGCCTATTCCTCCTTCCCAATACCGGTGGTGTTCTATCTTGAATACTTGGATATTAATGTTTTTTTGCTAAGTTACACGCGTAAGTATAAGCTTTCTCAAACAAGTTACTTGAACCAATTGTCATCAGTGCACGTTAAGTTGTATACTCTAAGCAGAGCACGCCTGGCGCCAAGGAATTTGCGGCTTCGCGTGGAGGCTCTGCTCTCCACCACCACTCTGCACTGAGATGCACTCACGTGGGTATTGACCGTTGGCCGCAGATAATAGATCACATCCGTCCCGCCACAAGTCAGGAAGAACCAAGGCACGAATATACCAGAATATATTCTCTGGGTCGAACACAGAGCGGGAGGAGCGGGACATCACCACGTATAGTCATGGCATTCAACTGTTTACTAATAGTGCGCTTTGTTCGCACCAGAGCGCTGCAAAACAAACCCGCGCAAAATAACCTCTATAATACAACGGCGATCGTGAATTCGGGTAAATGCGGCGAATACGTCGAGATGGGAAGGAATTGAATCTACTTTATACCTGAAGTTCATTGAAAACCGACGTGTAGAAGCCGATTCGTGTTTTCTGAAAAACACCGTCCATTTATTGATTTATGGACCTCTCAGAGACCTGGCTGTAAACCACAGTTGTATTGAGACTCATGCCTTTAGCGATGCCAAACAGTAGTTCTGCGAGACGTACGCTTCACTTTATTTCTAAACATCATAACGTATCTCCCGGTTTCCAAGTCTACTTCCTATAATACAAAAGAATCGTAAGGAAAGTAATAGTTCAGGCAAAAATAATAAAAAATAATCAGGATATTTTGAACGCTAGAAACAAAATTAAAGCAATGTGGATCATCGTAAAAAATACCACCACATCATTTCGTTACTTAGTAGAGAATGTTGTTTTAAAGGATAATGAAAGAGTAGCCAGTAATCGGAAAAAAGTGACAAATCTCTTCAACCAACACTTTTCTAGAATTCTGTCTGAACTCATAAAGGGACTAAAACCGCAAAATTCAACATCATTATGTTCAGTGGCGGCTCTGGGATTAGGTATCAGGGAGGGCACACAAAGTTACAGGATCAAATAATGTTAGGCATTTGAAATATTGTTATATTTGAATTGTTTAAGTCACATAAGTAAAATTTACAATCGAATTTTCTCCCCGGAAGACAGGCCAAACACATGATCTATAAATTAAATTGAGTCTTCTGTTTTTACATTCTGTAAATCTATTACTAATTATTTAAAATTAAATGAGTCTCGTAACAAAACTCTTTATAACGAAAACATACAAAGTCCATTTAATCTCTCTTCCGACATGGTATTTCTTAAAAATGTGTATAATCCTTTCAAAGTGGAAAAAGCTCTCTCGAATTCTTTTATATAGCACATTCAGCTCGGATGTCAGTTTGCTAGCTCACGAACGAAGAGAACTGTGAAACGAGATCAACCCTTTGTAGGGGGAATTTTTCTTGATATTGTTGGAACGTTTTACAGTCAAGGAGAGAACACATGGATAAATTCCTCCTAAATTAATATGGTCATTTACCCCTTTGAAATTTCCGTACAAAAGAACGATTGCCATTTCTATCAGATTGTAAAATTTTTATATCAGTCCGAGGTGGTCCAATTCTCTTCATGCACAGCCTTGTATCATAACTACATTGACTGTTTTCAGGCATTTTACAGAATTGCAAACCATTCTCAATCTCAATGCACATTACGAACTGGACGCAAAGATAGGAACACAGCATTCACATAGTTTACGGATCGGAAAGATGATGCCGACCATGCCGATTGCACATTACTGCCTGCACTGAATGCTTGCGAAAAGGGAGATCAGTTAAACAGAATACCAGCAGTTAGCACTGGCCTAGACGTAAATCAAGCGAAAAGAATATTGTAAGTTTAAAAATTGATCAATAGATAGCGCCGGGCAACGAGGTTGCTACCTCCCCTGTCAGGCTGCTGGGCGGGGTGAGAATTCGAGCACTTGTCGGCCATTTTTATGTCAGTACGTTCCATAACAACACTGCGTGTAGGACACAGAGGCGAGTGTCCGCAGCCAATAAAAATCGTTCTACGGAACAAGCGGGAGTTTGAAAGCAAAAGATGTGTTCGATTCGAAAACTACCCTACAGACCCACAGAGATTATTTTAGACAGCGCAAGAGAAGAAATACTGATCTCAGTAGGGGGGGGGCAGTGTCACTGATTATGTTCCCAACAATTTTTCGACACAATGTTTATTTACAAAACTTCTAATGAAATCCTGAGAATAGTCAGTAAATTAAAAAATAAATATTCATCTGGTTTATATGAATTTCTGGATTGATAATTGAAAACTTGTGTACCTGCATTTATACACCCGTTAACTCACATTTTCAATGCATATTTACGCACAGGAATATTTCCTGATATTATCAAAACAGCTAAAATTAGGCCAATTTTTAAAAAAGGGAACAAAAATGAAGCTCAAAATTACCGACCAATTTCTCTTTTGTTAGGTTTCTCAAAATTAGTTGAGAAGCTTTCCTATACACGAATGGAAACTTTTCTCTGGAAAAACGAAGCGTTTTCAGACTTACAATACGTTTAGAAAATCAATATCTACGGAAACTGCCATTTTTTTTCTTTTCTCAGAGATGTTGCTTTATTAATGGACCAAAATGAAGCACCCATTGGAATACTTTTAGATCTTTTGAAAGCTTTTGACCTTATTGACCATATCATCTTGCTATCAAAATTACCTTCTTATGGAATTCGTAGTATCGCCCTAGATTGGATAACCTCGTACCTTAAACTTCGATCTCAAAGAGTAGAAATACCGTACTGGCACGAAAGGACATTATTCATTTATCTTTCCAATTCTTTACCAATTGAATATGTGGTCCCGCAAGGCTCGATCTTAGGTCCTATCCTCTTTCAGTTACACGTAAATGATATGCCCTCGTCTATTAAAAACGGAAGACCGGTTGTTTGCCGATGAAATGAATGTTCTTTCAAAAAAGAAACAATAAATGGTACGATTTCGGAAGTTCAAATTGCTTTTTTTATAACAAAGTAATTGTTAATGAAGGAAAAACTGTTTCAATGCATTTTTGCATTTCAAATCAGCAATCGCATGCTCCATTGAAAATGAACAATATGCAATTAGGTGATGTTCAGGTAACAAGATTTCTATGAAGTCGTAGACTTCCGCGGCCAGAGTCATGTGGGTTATCTGGGCTGTCCGGGTGACGCCGCTTCGAAGGCTGTGTTGCCGACGTTTCGACCATCCTGTCATAGTCTTCCTCAGGGATGGTCGAAACACAGCCTTCGACGAGGCGTCACCCGGACAGCCCAGATCACCAACAAGATTTATAGGTCTCTCAATTCTGTAAAACCTCAAATGGAATGTATACATAACTAACTTAAACACTAAATTAAGTTCATTATGTTACGCATTCAGAATTCTTTCAAATTCTGTCAGCCTTCATGCAGCTCGTTGCGTGTATTTTACAAATGTGCATTCCTGCCTGGGATATGGTATACAATTCTGGGGAAACTCATCATGTAGTACTCAGACCTTCAGATTTAAAAAGAAAATTATTCGAATATTGAAAGGAAAAAAAAGCCATCCGCCTGATCCCTGCAAGCCTTTCTTTATTGAGCTTGGAATCTTACCACTGCCTTGCCTATATATTTACGAATCGGTAATATTTGTCAAAAGTGACTTCCTTAACGGTGGGAACATATTTTCATGCAATACTGATATTTAAAACGTCGTAACTGTTATTTGACATTACTGATATTTGATGACGTAAAATCACGTTCATCAAGTGTCTGTATCAACAGCTCACTATCTGAAATCCACTTACAATACATGTACGTTACTTTACAACGCATTGTCAGATGACATTATACAATTGAAGTCGGTTCACAAACTTAAGTTAAAAGTAAAATCTTTTCTGCTGCATAATTGTTAACTATACAGTTAGAGACTATACTGATTATCAGAACGAAAAATATTTATTTTAACAAAACAGTGATATGTTGAGTTAGTTTACATTTGCATTGTATATTTAAAAAAAAGACGTAATAGGTTTGTAACGAATAATGTACTTCAGCTTCCGAGTCAATGACCCCCATCTCGATCAGGTTTTTGTCCAGTTCCCTGATCCATTGAGCAAATGCTGTGATGGCCCCTTGTTTTGCTTCTGGACGTAAATGTAGCTTCACTATGAACACGTTTTGTTGTCTACAAAAGTCTCCTTTTGCGAGTAATGGTAAGAGTAAAGGTGAGGGCCAGTTACTATTTTGTTAGCAATGCAGAAAAATCATACGTGCAATTCGTTTACCGATGCAAAAAATCTATAATTCGGAAACGAAAATGTATGTTTTTCCCCCAAATATTGCTTATCTCGCGATTTAAAAAAATATTTTTATTTATTTTAAACTTTACTCATCTTTAAACAATTCATGGTTAAAATGACGGGAAATGATTCTGAAACTCAAGAAAACGTGCGCATGTAATCTTTTCCCCATACGTCACATACAGTTTTTTCTGTTTTTTTTTGACTAAATAAATCTAAATCTAGCCAAACGCAGCACCAGAACCCAAAATCTTATGCTACTGTCATAATACGTCATACCAATGAGGTAGCAAATGTTAAAGAACATGCACTACAAAGCAACAAAACGGCGACGAAGATATAGAAACTGGGAAGGACGTAGAAGAGATACCTCGCAATAAAGCCTTCAAGACGGTCTTCTGTAGAAAAGGGACAAAGAAGGGAAAGACCATCGTCGCCGGTGCCTCTACTGAAGGCGTCCTAAAGACAGGAGAGCAGACAACATGGCTACATCTACGCCGGCTGTCACAAAACCCCTCATCACATGATGTGACAACCTTCCTCAAGGGAAAAGGAAATGAAAAAAAAAAAAAAAAGAAAACTACGAACAGCTGAAGATCAAAGGATGGATCCTTCAAAGTCAGTGGCGTGCTTAGATTGCACCGTTGCACAACTCTCAGATAATTGAAAAATATCTCATAATATCTTAGGAATATACCATTTACTTTTAATGACATTCAATAATTAAGATATTGCAGCAATATCGATGTATATTGTGGCGTCACCAAAAAATATTATAATATTTTTATATCCAAATAGTTTCCATCACAGGAAGTTAAGTAGGTAGCGGGACTGGGCTTTTGTTGCGAAGAACCCTAACGACCGCCCGGCGGCGCCCGCACATTGACAGCTGGCCGAACGACCGCTGAGTAGGATGTCGCTTAGCAGCGGACACAGTTTTGGCCCGTCATATACACCTCGCGCTGCCACCCTTCGAGGAGCCACCGGCCACTCAAGACAAACAATATGCGCCCGCGCAATGAATCCAAATTCCCATAGGGGTTATTTACAACTCGACAGTCGCCGGCAGCCGATCAGCCTCCGCTGACAAATTTATGGCCCAGAAAAAACGCAACCTCTCGAACACGTGTTCGGACAGCTGCGAGAGAAGCTTCTGGAATTACACACACACAGAGGGCCCAGGAGAGAAAGAGAGATCTCCCTGGAAAATTCCGTAAACTGTGCATCCCGATTGGAGAACTTCAAAATTAAAATGCACTTAGTTTAGGCCTATGGGACGTCTCATGGGAAGGGGCAGCCCTGCAGGTTCGGAAACGTTTTGGGAGGGGGAAACGGAGGTAACTTGGACGCGAGATGTGCAGAGAAACATTCACTATAATACACTTTCGAATGACGTTTATTCAGACTCTCGAAAGACGCTAATTCTCTCTAATCTACGCCTTACCAGTCACTACTGAGAGAACATCATTCGCATAAAATTCCGGGAGGAAAACTTGGGAGCGGAGATGACTGATGGTCCCGCGAGGTACTTTCGCATAGTTGATTCTGCTTCGCCGCCTTAGTGCGCATTATCGGCCCATTTCAAGCCGCACTAAACCACCCGGCCAGCTACCGGTGCGTTCTCAACTGATTGCCGCACGATTGTGACGAGCTCCGTGTTCGCCACACCAGCCGTGCCGCGAGAGGAACACCAGTGGAGGTCGGTTGACCTGAGACGCCCGCCGTCTTCGAATGAGGACCGCCTCCGACCGCGTCTGCGGAGCCACCGCCCAGCCAGTGGAGTGATTATATCCGGTATTTAACCGGAGTCGAACTATCTCCCAAGTCGTTATGACGCGGGGCTCCCTCGCAGGACATTTTGGCGAGAGACTAAGAGTGGCCGCGCTCAGGCCTTTTGTATTATAGTTAAAGATGCATGAATTGTTATCAATAAGACATTAATGTTAGAGTTAAGAATTTTTTTCATTTACTGTTAAGATTATGAGCTCGTAACGTAAAGTTAGCAAGTACTCTGTGTCGCTCTCTTGTGACCTGTAACTTCCCCAGCTCATGTTGCCAGGAATAAATTCAATTTTGTTAGAAACGATTCGATGGACTGATTTAATACCTCCCTTCACTTCTATCCATTCGTTACAGGAACTGAACCTGGCGCCTGACATATCCCGATCGAGCGATCTCATTGCAATATGAACACATGATGAAACGTAAGAGCGTCGAATTCGCGCTCTCCCCGGTGTCTCATGCCTTTCCAGGTATTGCACTACGCATTTGGCTGTACCACAGTACAGCCACGGTTATGGGTTTACCGCATTTACTCTTTGGCCCTTCGATTTACCACGGGAAACATGCGAACGTTTGGTGACGCAACAAGCTGGACGACGCTGTCTATTGCTGCGCGGCAACGGAGGGTCTCAGGGTTATACCAATATTCTCTCTCCGTCTGACTCGCTGCAACGTACTTTTATGAATTTCGCTTGTTATTAAAAAGTACACAATTTCAGTCAATTATTAACGATATTCAATGCATTGTTTAAGGTATTTGGAGAATTTGTTTTAATTTTAAATTAGGTTTGTTGATTCAAAACGTACATTTGACGAATTCTTTGTGTAAAGGTGGCCGTTCTGGATGGAAGCCAGTGTACCCGCCGCTGGCCAGCAGTTTGCGACCGTTCTTGTGAATACGAAGTGTATCGAAGATCTTTCATTATTGCCAATTATTCCAAGGTAAAGAAGTTTTCAAAGTTAAATAATTTTATTTGCGTTAAACCTGTCGAAGTAATAGTGCTTGTTGCAATATGCTGGAGCCGAACTCAAGTGCCTAGTGGAAATGAAATCAGAACCACATGCGCGAGAGGTGTATTCTACCTTACACGGACACGACTTACATAATTATGTAAGTAATGTTTCAATATAGACTTAGTATTAATTAATTTGAATTGCTTACATTTTTATTATATATTCGTATTTTGAATTTTGGAAATTACATTTTCGTCATTCGATGGAGGCGCAACCTGCAGTCTGTTGGGGCACCAGCCACTACTGTTCCAAATAGGGATTCCAATGAAATCCCTTCAAGAAGTAGAAGTCCCAGCTTTCTGGCTTGAAGGACTGATAATTAGACGATTTCGCTCGCCACATCGAGCAGCATGAGGATTATCCCCAGAGAGTATATATCAGAGGATTATCCCTATCAGGAGTCGAACAAAATTGAGAAAACATAAGACCGCCCCGACGCACATTCCGCAACAAAATTGACTTTACGGAATGTGGAAGGACTCGACTTAGTTCTAAGGATATTGACAGAAAATATTCTCGTCATTAGGAGACGTCATTATACTCACTGAAACATTTATAAGAAAGGAAACCAACTTGGACGGATACCATGGCTTCCGTATCTTGAGAGGCGGGCCAAGTGGAGGCATAACTTACTAATAAAGCCACACCAAGCCTCGTGCAAGAAGGCCTTTGAAAGCCATAACATAATGTCTATCCACTTTAATAATGTAAATGTAGTTGTGGGTACTTCCAATCATAGTGCTTTGCACCTGGCGTAAATGATGCCGTAAGTGAAGCGCTCCAGAAAATTAGATTCCTTAAAACATCTCTCTCGTGCAAAACCGCGACAACTCCCATCAGAAAGCATCTTCCGGTGAACGCGCTCCTGCGTATACCACATACAACACCTTCCAAGACGGAATGTATCATTTTAAGGTGCAATAAATGCGGTCGTTCACATTATCAAATCAAAAGAGCCAATCTGATGACGAAGTTCGCGTGTTTTTCTTTATTCATGAACAATTTTACGTAATCCCACATACGTTTTTTCATGAAAAAATTGCAATGAAGGAAAACTAGAAATGAAAGACAAAAAAACAAAACAAGCACTGCATTTTGTTTTTGAGAAATATAAATATTATTTGTTTAATTTATTCGTTATTATTTGAAGTTTAATTTCGTCTCGTCATTTTGACGGGTTAGTGGATAGTATCCCTAACATTACTATTCAATTTCGGCAGTTGCTGGGAGGTGCCAACTCGCTTCGGAAACTGACAAGTCTACGAGACTGTCCGCCGGCGATTGTTCATGAAAGCGGCGTTGCCCAACGTGATGGCAACAGTGATTGCAGGTCGGGGAAAGTCGCCTGCTCACCTGTTTGCTGCTGCTGTTACCGCTTCTTCCCTCCCGTGCTGTCGCTTTCTCTTCGCGCTGTCCATCAGCTGTCCATGGCGTAAGGAAGAATTTCAGGTGGTGTTGCGAGCCAGTTGTGAGCGGTTGTGAGCCCTGAAGCCCCCAGAAGAGGGCGTGTGGGAGAGAGTTGTGCTCTCAAAGTGACAGGCATTCCTGAGTGAATTTTGTTTTGTGGGAGTGACGTTTGTCTATAGAAAAATTGAAAAATGGCATCCTCGCGAAGTCTTTTTGTAATAGTAAGTTTCGTTACATGTTTATGAGCGATTTTTTAAAAGAATAATTTAATATCAATCTTAGACTTATTCTCTTGCATGGAGTTTTAATTTTGTATAATAATGAGAAATGTGTGCGAAAATCGGCGGAGTCGACGACAAAGTTCGGCGCTTGTACGAATCCCCGCTTATTTTTTTTTTTTTTTTCAGTGTATTTTAGTGATTCTAATGATCATAAGCTGCCAAATTGTTGAAGCTACTCTCACCCCCAAAGCTCCAAATTTTCAATATTTTGAAAGGTAACCTTTTATTATTTTCTTCTTGATTAATACATTTTGTTCATTGTTACTTTAACTGAATTTGTGATTGTCCCACAGGCCAAAGTACAGATATCCTTATTATGATGAAAATGGGAAAGGGAAACTTTTGTATGGGTATGGAGGCTCAGATCTTTACCAGTATAAAGCGTACTCTCCTCTAGAAGGTGTTTATTAAAATCTTGTAAGTGAAGAAAAGCAGCATAGATTTCTTATAATAATTTTTTTTATAAAATATGTCTTGAATTTTAATGAAATAACTATGTACATTGTCTGTTTAAATAGTCAGTGATTTGAAAGACTGCATAGTATTTTAAAATAATTTTCAAGAGAATGAAATTATCTCTTTCAGTTTCAACATAATTATTTTTAACAAGATTTCTTTTTCTGTAATGAAGCTAGGGTATTCATTAATTTGAAAGATGAGATGTAGTTTTTCTCACAAATTGACAATATGTGAAAAGATACTGCTGTTATGTGCTAAAAGCATGGCATACTTTAATTATTTAATGAAAATTTTAAAACCTTACCTTTAAATAGTAGTTTAGTGATTCATTGCTCTCTTAATTTGTCTTTGTGACAAAAATATTTGATTTGAAAGATTTGGTTAATCCCTTTATAATGATATTTTTAAATGCCTGTTGTAATGATTATAGGTGACTAATAATTGATAAATATATTACATTTTATTAATGTGTTGTTCATATGTGTGTTCCCACTTTTTCCTTTAATACTTCTGTAGTTGCCAGTGGCATTGGAATTACTGTAGACAGATGAATCCTTCCATCTTTCTCACTGGTGCCCTTAGTAAAGCATTAAAAATTAGTGTGGAACATAAGATAATATGAAATATCAAGAGAATCAAAATATCTTACTGTATTGTTTTTAGATTTGGTGATATTGTTCATCATGCCATTGCTTAGCATTTGCAATAAACGCTCGCCGTGTACCCCAAATTTGCTTTCAAATTCTTGCCTGTACTTCATTCCATCATCAGGAAAGAATTTAATTCGTAAAACCTCAGGAACAGGGCTTATAAATTTCCATGGAATAAATGAGAGCTGAGGGGCTCCAATACACACTGGCATGCCAATGGTTGCTATTGCTCCTAGCAGTAAAAGCTAAATTGATAAATACCATTTGTTACATTGTGGAAATGAGGTACAATTTTTAAAGTAACTTTTAATGAATTCAATTAATCTAATACTTACCGATTTGATGAGTTTAACTCTTACCGAAGATGCAATGTACATGTTCATGCCAAATGTATTTTTACTGTGGTAGCTGTAAGTAGTGTTTCTTCTTGTGTCAGGAAACAGTGAATGCCAATTCTTAAGATTTTACTTTTCTCTCCTATCAAAATGAGGCCAGTAGGCCAGAGTAAAAAGTGCAATGAAAGTTGTACTACTTCAATGCTGAATATGATAAATGGAAGAAGAGTAAGAAGGTAATAAAATTATTAAAAATAAAAATTTTAATGTTTTAAGTAAAGAAAGCATTATGTAAGGTACGGAAGGTAAATGTTTAAAAAAATTATGGTAATAAGAGATAGTCTACCAGGAGGAGTGTTTAAGTTGGTTCATCAGTCAGTGTGCTGAAAGATTGCCTTTATACGTCGTCCCAAAACGTACATGTTCTTAAATTATTTTATAAAAATATTCTAAAATTATTTCAAGCATATACCGGTTGTTTTATTAAAGCAGATAATGCTAGATTGGTAAACAAAAAGTATATTTGAATGGTTTATGTTAAATGTAGCAACTTGAATGTAGTAATACCAAAGAAATTTAGGTTAGTTTATGGCAGATACCGGATTAAATAAAGACATGGTCTGAGGAAAGCAATTAAGAGAAGAAACTTTGTAAAGAAGCTTTTAAATAAGTTTACTATTCAAAATGAAAGATGAAAAGGGAGTGAAAATTAAAATTGAAACAGATGAAGGATAGAGCTGTAATAGAAAAACTAATTTATGGTTTCCAAAACTGGATGGCAGTTTGTAGACTATTACTTCACTGTTAATCAGTAATGCATTAGTTTTACACAGAAATTTGTTTTTCAGAAAATAGGTAGGTAAGAGAAATTATTCTTAAGAGAAATGCCCTGGAACCTTGTTTTATGAAAGTTTTCAGCAAGGAAAATGGAAATATTTGGGACAAAGGAAGAAAACATAATTGATGTTGCTGAGATTGACGTGCTATATTTTAAAGATTGAAAAACTGGGGAAATGATGAGAATAATGATCTTACAGGTTTGTTTTGAAATATCTTACGTAGAGAACTTGTTCAGGAATTGTGATATTTATTAATTTAAGTTTACTGAAAAGCTTTTTTAATTTTCCTGAACATAAATGGTTTGAAATTTTATGTAATTAAAATGTGAAAGAAATTGTTTAGTAGTGTAAAAGATAGTTTAAAATAAAAGTATGTATGGTAATTAAGTTTGGCCAAACAGTGATGTTTTGTTCATTTATTTGTGTACATGTCAACATTATAATATTTTAAAAACTGTTTTTGAAAATATTCGGGAAATTAAAAATGTATCGTTTACAGTAATTTGATATTGATCGTCTTTTCCTCATGCGAATTTGTACCAAATTTTACATTGTATCTCCATTTAGGTGGATGAATTTCATATCTCGCTTTATGAAACTGATATGGAGTTGTGCAATGTGACTAAATCAATATAATAATTATACTATGAGACTCATTAACCCCCATAAACCCTTAATCACGTTTTCCTGTATATTGTATTAATAATAAAATATATATAGCATTCTGCTGACAAACACTCCAGTAATAATATTCATGTCTTCCGGGGTAATGGGCCGTGGTCCAATTGGCTTTGAGTTGCCAAACGTTTCGCCCATGACTGCAGTGGGCATCTTCAGTCCGGAAGACATGAAGAATATTGACTCCGGCCGTGAAAGCCTACAATGCTGTTTTCTCCAGTAATATGTTACAGTTTATTAAAGATAGTCATGTAGGAAAAAGTATTCATACATCTCAACATTTAAATATTACAGATATGGTATAAGGAATGCTGTATATTTAAAATGCAAACAATTAGAAGAGAGTGGTTTTCAATCCTACCGTGGTGCCCACTCTAGCGGTTGGTTATATGGCCCCGGACAAAAAGACAAATTGACATCCCTAATTAAAAATATATTAGTATATATTCTCTTAAGGTATAAATATTTTTTCAATAAAATTAAAATCATTTAAAATAAATTTTAATAGCAGCATGTATTTTCAATGCAACATGTAGCAAAACACAAACTACAATTGAGTAGTACAAAACAGCAGGGGAGTTAGCTGGACCAACTTGCCCATGCACCAATGTATTGAGGCACCAAATTGTTTTTTATTTAAAAGAAATAAAAATGTATTTATCTCTAATCCAAATATAGCTCTAAAAGCAACAATATTTGTGGCTCTTTTTCACAGAAAATTTTTGAGTTTTCGAAAAACTTCATTGGAAGTCATTTGAAGAACTTTAACTCACAAATGCAATAATTTTTTATATATATTTTATTTTTTAAGTGCTATTTAAACTAAGCATTATAGCACAATCAATGTCATTATTTTGAAAATAAAACTAGGTAACATCAACTAAGCTGAAATCTCAATTTTTTTCTAACTTTCAGTTTGGCAAATCTTTTAACACCATCATCAAATTTATTTTATCAGCAGTTTTATGCTCAATTGCCAAAAAGGTGAAATCATTAAAAACCATTTTGTGTTTTGATGGAATCAGATGTTCTTAATTAATTTTAACTCAGAGAAACTCCTTTTGCAATTTGCTACAGTTCTTGGTTTTGCAAATCCTGCTGACATTTCCTATGGTAATTCTTTTTCATTTTATTTATTTATGTCATAAACAGTTAAAAGCTGAGTGTGACGTGCTATGGAAAGATGTCAATTTGAAGTTACATTTATGTCCAGAAGCAAAACAAGGAGCTATCTCAGCATTTGATCGAGGATCAGGGAAACTGGAAGAAAACCTGATTGAGATGGGGGTCCAGAAGGCCCAGAAGCTGAAGTACAATACTTGTTACAGGTTCTTTACAATTATGCAATCCAAATGGTATAAAATACATTAAATGTCATTGTCAAAATTAATATTACTTTCCTTTTGGATGCTTGGTATAGTCTCTAATTGTATAGAAACTGTTGTGCAGCAGAAAAGATTTTACTTGGGACTTATCGAATTTAATCGTTTAATTTCATCTGACAAGGTGGTGTAAAATAATGTACATGTATTATATGTGAATTTTGCGTAGTGAGCTGTTGATACTGTCACCAGATGAATATGATTACTACGTCAAATGTTGTAGTTATAGACAACGGCGTTTGCTGAAAATATATTCCCGCTCTTAAGTCATTTTTGACAAAAAACACTGATTCATATATGAAGAGACAAAGTAATGGTAAAATACCTAGATGAATAAAAAGAGGCTTACAAGAATCACGTGGGTGGGATTTACTTATTATTCGTACAATTCGTTTTTGTAATCTAAAAGTCTGGGAACTAAAAGATGTATTTCCCCAGAATATTATGCCATATCTCAGGCGGGAATGAATACAACGAGCAGGGTGTAAGCTAACTGAATTCGAAAGAATTCTGAAAGCGTAACATAAAGAACTTAATTTAGTGTTCAATTCATTTAAATTGACGTCCCATTTAAGGTCTGACTGAAAATTTAGTGTTCAATTCATTTAAATTGACGTCCCATTTAAGGTCTGACTGAATTGAAAGACCTAAAAATTTTGTTACCTTAACATCAGTCAATGGCACACCGTTCATTTTTAGTAAAGTGCAGAGCTGTTTATTTGAAATGGAAAACTTCATTGAAACAATTTTATTTTCATTTCCTACTCCTACGGAACCAATTTGAAATATCTGCCATTGTACTATGGGCCGGTTTCACCAAAGAGTAAGAGTTTACTCTGAAGTAAATCATGTTTACTCGAGAGTAACTTATTGGAGCGTTTCACCAACACTTTACTCGAGTGTAAATCGCTTACACGAGAATAAATTCGAGAGTAACTTTACACCGCGAAAATCCGTCGGGTAAAGTACGGAGTAAATTCAGTTTTCAACGTGCATGTACAGTGGTGTTACGGTTCGACGAATTACGAATGATAGTATTTGTAGACGATTCCAGCAATAATTCGGAACATTATCCACTAGTGCGAAGACAAGGGTGCGACAAAGAATGGATTGGTTTTAATTATGACGATCGAGATTTTGTCATAAGGTTATGTTTGGCCAAATCAGCTGTTTAACTTCATCAGATACATTGTAAACTGTAGAGAACTTCTAAAGTTATTTTTCTC